TTAGATAGATAGAGAGATAGAAAAATAACTTTATTCTGGGACACAGTCCCTTGAGAATAACAAAATAGAACAAAATTAAAAGATTACATCTGGCCAAAATAAAATCAATCGAAAAAAAGAAATAATGTAAAGAAAATATATAGGTAAACATTCTATATACAAAACAATTAATACTATGACAAGACACTTAAAGCTATTTGCACTGATACACCAGTATACGCTTTTAAGAATATAATAAAGGATTAAAACATAAAAATATATCAAATTCTCTATTAAAATCAGCTTTGTGTTTCTGTTGAGAAAACAGAAAGGTGAATCTGACAATATAACTTGCCTGATTAATATATAAATACATTATCATTTAGCATTGATATTTGACAATGAATGGCATGAAATAAATGTATGTTGTCGAATGGTTAGCAACTATCTGACTGTTTTTGGGATAGGAATTGGAATAGGAGGGTTTTGAATGTGGATATGGATGGGGAATGTCGAATTTTGATAGGGAGAGAATTCCAGAAAATGACAGAGCGAACAATAAAGGAGTTTTGGAATGAGGTAGATCTGTGAGAAGGCATGTGAAGGTTAGAAGGTCGAGATCTTGTGGACAAGGAATGAACTGAGGATTTGAACTGGAGAAGGATGGATATTGTCTTCGGATGGAGGGGGGAAGCCAGTCAGTTAGCCTTCCCCAGTGCTGCTCACATTGCATACATATAGTTCTATAAAAAAACGTTTTTTTTTACTCGACAAAAAATACAAGAATAGTGGCGGTGAAAGTGACAGGTAAAATAGAAGTCATAGTGGCGGTATGATAAATCAGATATAATTATCACAGACCTTTAACCTCTTATTCAAGTAGTTTTTTTTTTTAATTTATTGTAGTAGATAGCCCCCATTATTTACTGTTTTATGTGACATTGTTTGAGGGAATGAGAAGGAATATATAGGAATGTGAGTGAGGTTGCACGATGAATTGTACTCAATTGTGCAGTGAACAAATTATTCATTGAAAAGTCTCATATCGATAAACAATCGATGAAGAAAGAAGGTTGGAATAGGACGGAGCAGGTAGCAACAGCTGGAGAAGGACGCTGGAGAGAAGAGAAGGCACTTGAGGCTGGGACACGAAGCGAAAGGACGTTACCTGAGAAGAGAAGCCTACTACATTGAAGACTAAGAATATCAAGCCTACAGTTATAAGACTTTAATAGATTCATTTATTACAGTTGTCAAAATAAATTGTTTTATTATACAGGAGTGAAAAGTCATTTTATTTAGTTGTCCTATATGCCTCACAATTGAAGAATAACAAACCAAGTGAGTGAATTCATTCAAAGTGTATTTACTAAGTCCCACATTTCATATATATCTATTCTTATTGTTTCTTCTCACTCAGTGTCACAAAAGTATTAAGTTCCCGAATTCCCAACAACAGTTGAACATCCTCAAAAAGTCTATATCCAGTGCCGGGGATCTAATATTCACGAGTGTAAATAACCTAGCCCCCAATAAAACGGAAAAGAATATTGGTAATTCCCGCCATAAAGAAATATTTAAAATTAAACCTTCAACAGGTCATTTACATTATTGTACAACAACTCTGTTTCCTTTATTTTTTTCCAATCAGAAGATTTTTATTATTTATTTATCTTATATACTATATAGTTTTTATTTTAGTAAAGTTTGCTTATGATTATTCGGTGATATCCTTTTAATATTCTTTGGACTATATACTTTACGCAACATTTTAACCACATAATCCTGATAATTGTACGCAGCAACGTATTCTACGACTTTATGAATTATTCATGAGCACTCTTCTATTTTTATGTGATGATTTTATCACATCTCCCGAGAGAAATTCGAAGCATCAGAAAAATGTATAGTTCATCTCACTGCCTTAATCCTTTAAATATAAATATGCAATATATTCAATTGTTTTGTTAACATATTTTAAAATATACCCATAACCTATACGCAAAAAAAAACTAATGTATAGAGTACAAACATACGTATGTATATTTTCTTTCTAATAAAATTATGATGCTGATTATCTGAATTGCCATTCATAATTTCTATACATAAGATAAACTTTTTTTTTGGAGGTGGGGAGAGGTCTCTCACCAGAAATAAAAGTCTACGCTTATGGGAGTACGTATGATACGTTCGATTGTTGTTTGTTGTAAGGCGGTTAGTAAAGTTTTGTTCGTGGGCGGGGTGGCGGAAATGGCCGCCGTTACCCGGCAACTTGATATGTCAATGAAATGATAGAAAAGTAGTCACGAGTTCGCATCCCGGTGCCGAGGGAGTCTTTTAAATCCTCGCCCACACTCCCTGGCCCGGGAAAACCCCGTATAGCCTTAACGGCGAGGAAGGGGTGGACCGAAAAAAAAAAAGTAAAGTTTTTTTCTGCAAATATCAAGAAGCAGCTGTTATTACTCTTAAAATTGTGCTTGAAAAGATTGTAGTTTTACATGTGAGTATTTTTTATTGAATCGTAAATCTGGGAAACGTATTTTCATATGTCTACAAGAAAAAGAGAGTATGTTATTTTCAGTTGTTTGGTCTTGCGTTTCATTTTAACATGTGGTTCACAGGTCCTTATCCTTTTATTTAATTTTAGTCTATTATTATTTTGATTAATTATAAAACGTTAGCATATAAATTTTATGTGTTTGTTAAAGTCGGAAACGTGTCGGAGTAGGTATGTGACATATAATGTTGTTCTCAAAGACAATAACATCAGAATAAAAATAAAGAAATGGGACACCATTCCAGAAAACAGTGTATTGGGATGACACCTGTGGCTGAAAGGATATGCTAATATTCGAAGGCTGTCAATGCCAGCTCCAGTATCCTGGATCCTGCATCTTCAAAGTTAAGGACCTTAATACAAAGGAAATAAATCTTCAAAGCATACCTGAGGTCTAAGTTATGCGTTACCTTTCCTTATTGAAAAATCATTAAAATCGAACAATTATCTTATAAGTAACAATATTTTTGATAATTTTTAGAAATGAGTCAAATATACAATATTTTACCTCAAATATAAAACGACAATATGCAATCACGTATGCACAGTCCCTCGAAGTAAATTTGATAAGATGATGGAAGACCATACTTGACATATTTGTTCTTCACTGAAACAAATGAAGAAGAATGTTGACATGATTATGGTACAAAATGACTTCAAGTGGCTATATCACTTCCCCAAAAACGTCGTAAATTTCAATTATAAAATAAATAAAACAATTGGTGATCAAATGGTATTTGTTGTTGTAACAAAAGACATAGTTTATGATTTCTGGTTATCAATATTTATATATAGTTTAGAATTATTCTTGCCCGAATGCGAGACCGACACGAGTCTCGGTCTTGCAAATTCAGTCTTGCAACATTCTTGCAGTTACTTATTAGCTCATTACAATAGAGATATTGCTGTAATTGTTTAGATAGAAGAGACCTAACTAAAATTGAATGAAAAATTAGAGGAGTTAAATGTTAAAGTATACTGGTTACACCAATTATTAACTTATAGTAACTAAGATTTTCGAGTATTAGTAACTATTTTCCCTTAAATTTTATTTAAAAAATCGATTTTTCTTACCAGTCCCCTGGTCTTGGTCTTGCAACATTAGGGGCCTGGTCTGGTCTGCAATTGAGTGAAATCTTTTTATTAGAGGTCGTATTATTGTTAGGAAGTGATAATGGAGACCGCAACATTTGTTTTATGTTTTACTATTGCTATTTTTATTTGTAAGTAAATGCACACCCATTTACATATATTCAATACAATTTTATTTTCAAATTTTCTTAGTCTGAATAATCATATGTTAATTAAATCTAGTAATAGACTAATGAAGATCGTACAAAAACCGACAGGAACCAAAGCTAGCCATGGAGGCCACATGTGGCCTTGAGGCCCCAACCTGTGCTATATCCACTACTTTCCTCAATCCAACGAGAATCCGACCTTCGATGAAGTTCAAGTTCTTTAAATATAATTCGCCCACCCTCCGCCCCCCTTCCCACCACACACTTTGGCTAACTATAATTACGGTAGAGGTATAGGGCCCTTGTG